AAGTTATCTGACTCATTTTTGTTCAGTTTTGGTATTAAATACGGTTTAAAATGTCTTTAGACAGTTTGTTTACGTTTGCTATTTTTAGCAGTTCTTGTGACATAAAACTGACATTTGAAGTGGGAGTATTTTTCGAGGAGGTCGCGTAATTTTGAAAACGGGTGTAAAACCAGCAGGAGCACAACTCAAAAGCGTAAAGGTACCGCGACTTAAGATTTTCCTGAATAATTCTTACATTATTTTATTGTTTGTTAATTTTACAACTTTACCATATTTTGCATGCACTGGAGAACATTTGGTGAAAATTTGATGAAAATCGGACTGATATTGAGCGCGCAGTAGCGATTTTCCGCAAAACGCCAAAAAGGGTGTCCTGTAACCTTAATGTACTAGTTTTTCGATTGAACACATTTCCATCTGCCATGGGCCTGGAAGGATAAATCTGATAAATGCAACAACCGGAATCTGCAGCACCTCCGCTTCTTAGACTACGAGTTCCCAATTTCCTGAGATCGTCAAAAAATATACCCAATTTTTTCTTGATCATGTCTTTCACCGTAGTATAAGATATTCCACAAGACTCATGAAAGCTCTGGCCACCTTTACTATACTTAATTCTACATACAACTGGATTGCAAGAATCAGGATGGTCGGATAACATTTGGAACAGTCTCTCGGTAATAGCCACCGGACAAGTCTTTGGGAATCTGAAGACAATCCTTCCACAGACCAACTCGAAATTCATCCAAATCAACATTGGTAAATAGGATATAAATAGCAAAACTGTAAACGATGTGTGGCTCAAAGGCATATGACGCCATATTCTCTGACAAAACAAACCGCAATGTCAACAACATACACATGATTCTTAGCTTGAAAAAGCATAAAATAATTAATAGCAGACCTGCCAACTCTCAAGGATTTCCCGTGTGACACACAAATTCAGGCATTATCTCACGGAAATATTTTCAAATCTCACGGATTTTGAAATTTTCACCACCAGTAGACCTTAAAACTGGAGTGTTTGAAATGAAATAAAACCAGCCATTGACGGTAAATCTAATTTGTTTAGTGTTTATTTACTCATTACCAAGTAGGCCTAGTAGTCTAAGTGCGCCGCCATTTTCAATAACCTTGTTGGGGATTGCCTCCAAGTATCGCCCAAAATAAATCACAACAAAACACAGTATAATATCTATTACAAAATCACAAGTTTCACAGTCACATGTTTTTTAAGTTCTCTCCTGGAAAAAAAACAACAACCACCGGTATAATCCGGAACTTTTCGAAGTGTTTAAAGTTTGGACTCGCACGTCCCACGCGTGAACATAAATACTAATTCTAGATTACGACAGTTTCCGACACTCTCCCCCCATATACACGGTGGGCAAAAAAGACAACAAATTTGGCCACGTACATATAACTTTCTGTCGTTAGTTTGGAATATCACGAAACTTCCTCACAGGATAGAACTTAACATTCCTAAAAATCGTATGTTTTTTGTTTTTCGATTTTGTTACATTTTGGCGGGGAAATGACGTGCCAACTTTGGCGCCAAAAAATTAAACACGAGCTAAGAACATGCTAGTAACTTTTTTGAAGAGATTGTCCTATAAGGATTTCAAAACTGTAAACACATAAAAATACAACAAGGCAGTGCGAAGATATGGTGATTCAAAGTTCGAAAAAAATCTATTTTTAGTAACAAAATGGCTGATTTTTCAGTAAAAATAGATTTTTTTCGAACTTTGAATCGCCATATCTTCGCACTGCCTTGTTGTATTTTTAATGTTTTTACAGTTTTGAGATCCATATAGGACAATCTTTTCAAAAAAGTTACTAGCATGTTCTCTGCTTGTGTTTAATTTTTTTGTGGCAAAGTTGGCACGTCATCCCGCCAAAATGTAACAAAATCGAAAAACAAAAAACATACGATTTTTAGGAATGTTAAGTTCTATCCTGTGAGGGAGTTTCGTGATATTCCAAACTAACGACAGAAAGTTATATGTATGTGGCCAAATTTGCTGTCTTTTTTGCCCATCGTGATACCTTACAGCGAGGTATATGTCCCTCAAAGGAGACTGGTCTAACCAAACAGTACTAATAAAGGATAAAGTTCTATAAAAGTTCAGTGTTCAATTTGCACTATATAGTTTTCGTCAACGTTCTACTTCTGCTACTTCTGTAATGCATTGTTGAGCTGCCACTGCAGCATCTCGTCTTGGTCGGAATGACGCCGCTTCCGGGTTTAAGTTGATAGGTTCCTTTGTTTCTGTACGGTCACAGGATAACTCGAGTGGATACAGGTGGTTCACTGCTCGTTCAAGGTAGGCTTTCCCTGCACGAAGTTTCACCGCACGAACAATCCCATCACGTACAGCTCGTCGACAACACCGAGAGGCCCACTTTCCACGGTTTCGTTCATCCGATTGTATAATAACCACGTCACCCTTTTTCACCGTGAATGACGTCTTCTTGTGATTTTGGTTATGCCGCTCTCGTAGACCACACAGATATTCCGTTGACCATCTCCGCCACATTGCTTGCTTGCACTTTAACAAATACCTTGCACGCTTGCGTAGATCCTTTTCTTGTATGTGATGTGCTTCCAGCTCTGGTGCGAATGTAGAACCAATGAACATCATGGAGTTAGGCGTTAGCGTTGGTAGCTGTACATCATCTTCCATGTAGCTGAGTGGTCTTGTATTCAATGCTACTTCGATGTCTATGAGGACCTCCTTCAGCTCGTCCCAACTCAGCGACCCTTTGCCAATTGTTTTATGTAGAGCTCTTTTTACCAATCCGATTAAGCGCTCGAACTGGTCACCCCACCATGGGGCGCGACTCAGGTTGAACTGCCATCTAATTCGATTCTTGCTGAGGAATTCGTTTAACTTTTCATCGTTTTGAGCTGTTCGTAACCAATTTGCTGCTGAAACAAACGTTTTTCCATTGTCAGAGTAGACTTTGCTTGGTCTCCCTTTCCTTGCGATGAATTTCTTAAAACTCTCGATAAACTTTCCTGTGTCTAAGCAGGGCATCAACTCGAGATATACCACTCGCGTGAGGCTACAGGCATAGAGTAGTATGTATGCCTTTCCTTCTTCCTTCCTTTTCTTAATGTACTTAATAGGACCAGCAAAGTCCACGCCTATTGTTTCAAAGGGACGACTCCCTTCAGTTCTATCTGGTGGCAGCATACCAGGTGGTGGTTGTAGCACTGCTTTCGCTTGGAATCTACGACAACCGTAACACTTCT